GCTCGCGCTCGGCCTCCAGGCTGTGGCCCGGCCTGCGGCTCAGCACCCGCGCCGGCACGTTCTTGATGCTGTTCATGCCGCCGCCGCCGCCCGTCTCCCCGCCCGGGCTCCGAGCGAATGAGGCGTCACCGCCCGGCCCGAGCCTAGGCACCCGGAGGTCGCGCGCCGCCGCCGCCGCGCCGCGCGGGGAGGAGCCGCCGCCCCTCCCGCCAGCCACACGGGCTGTCCAACCGGCGCCCCGCCCTCCCCCGCTCCGCACGCTCCGCCCCCCGCCCCCGCCGGCCCCCCAGGACTCCTGGCGTGCCCCGCCCCCGGCATCTCTTGATCAACCCCAGGACTCCCAGTAGGCCCTGCCCTCACCCACCCCGGTCCCTTAGGACTCCGGGGACACCGTGCCATGCACCCCTCTGACACCCAGGACGGTCTGCCCTGGACCCCCTACTCCCCTGGGACGCCCTACCCAGCACCCTTCTGGTCCCCCGGGATGCTCTGCCCTGCACCCTTCTGGTCCCCTAGGACTCCCTGGGAGTTCCCCTTGCACATCTGTGCCTGTGTCTTGCACACCTCCAGCTCCCTAGGACCCCCCGACACACCCTGCCCTCTAATTCTGGTAGACCAAATGCAAGGACAAACAACCCCTTAGCTTGGCTACACACCTGCTTACCTCCTCCCAAAACTGAGGAGAAATCAGTTGTGTGTCCCCCGCTCTCCTTCTGCACCCACAGGGGAAACCGGAGCAGGTTGGGTCTCCTTGAGTCTGGGCAGTGGTCGCACGGCAGGATTCTTTGGTCTTCTTTTTGTTGTAAGCCCCTGGCACCTCTCTAACACCTTGCTTTTTGAGATGAAGCATCAACTAACTACCTGTCCTAAGAAGTGCGACCTTGAGTTACACACCTGGCCATCGTCTCCCAGGTTAGATGGAGCTCTCTGAGGACCCCGAGGGACTCTGTCTTTGCCGTTGCTCATTCTTCATTGTGCTGACATCCACTGAACATTTCAGAGTTGGACAAGGCTCTCTTTCCCGGCTAAGAGATTAGCCATGCTGAAAAGCTTTTTTGCCAAAATAACAAGAGTGACGAAAGCCAATATTTACTGAACACATTTTCCAGGTATGGGGCTAAACCCTTTATCTATGTATTATCTTGTCCTAATCCCCAGTAATTCACCAAACAGCCATGTTTTAAAACACACACACACAACAATGGGGCTGTTTTGCTCTGTGCCAGCTGTTTCTCAGATTCTTTTTCTCACATGGGACAAAACCAGTTGTCCTGTGATTTTCATACATATACAAGAGGCCACAGCCCCCACTGGGTATAGAACATCTGCTCCACTGGCCTGTCATTATCAAATGTTCACGATCTTCTTAGTAAATAGAGGCTATTAGTGTGCTGGGCATTTATTCGGTATCCAGTCTCATTCAGTATTTAGGTTTTGGTGGTATTTTTACAAATCATGAAAACAGCTTAGAGCCCAGGCTCACAGAACTGCAAAATGATGCCTTTGGGATGTGGCCTCAGATCCGCACACCACTGACTTGATGGTTCTGGATTCCCTACGGCTTTTACAAGTGACATATCTGCTCATGAGATTTTGAGTTGCTGGAGGTCAGGGATGCTTTGTGCCAACCAGAATCCTGCTCTCCAAGCCTAGCAGAGCACCTGGTACATGACAATGTTTTTTTTTTTTTTTTTTTTTAAAAGGTGTGAGGGTCAGCAATTCGGGTAAGTAAAGGTATTTGCTGCCAAGCCTGATGTCCTGAGTGGAAGGCTGGGACCCACATGGTGGAAGGAGAGAAATAATTCCTGCCTGCTGTCCTCTGACCTTTATTTTTGAGCTGTGGCATACATATGTACACATACATAAGATAAACACATAGAATTTAACTTAGAAAATGTGTGTGAAGGCAAGTATACACCTTTAATTCCAGCACTTTTGAGGCAGAGGCAGACAGCCTCTGTGAAGAGGAGGCCAGCCTGGTTTATATAGTGACTAAAAACGGGTTGGAGTATAAAAGGAAGGTTTTTAAAATAATAATAATAATAATAATAATAATAAGCCGAGGGCTGGAGAGATGGCTCAGTGGTTAAGAGCACTGTCTGCTCTTCCAAAGGACCTGGGTTCAATTCCCAGCACCCACATGGCAGCTCACACCTGTCTGTAACTCCAGTTTCCACCTTCATACCAATGCACAGAGAATAAAATTAATTTAAAAAAAATAAAAAATAAACTGCCCCATAGAGTGGAGAACAGAATGAACTCTTTACTGTTGGCTTATGTTATAAATGGGCATTTCTGGGGGTATGAAGATGTGAACTCCACCCTTATTAAGGTTCATCTCAGACATCTTCAGCAGAGGGGCCTGGCTGAGATCCCCTCATCATTACAGTACAGATGAACTGTAATAACTGTTTAGTCTTCCTCCAGGGGAATACAAATTAGGCCCCATCTGGGAGACCTCAGGAAGACAGCAAAGTTTTTGGGGGCTCACTGAAAAAGCCTATATGCTGTAATAGCCACTGCCCCACTGACACACAGGGACAATCCACCCAGCCCCTCTGCAGTTTCATCTTGCGCCATCCTGGACTATCAAGTCTGCACATGCGTCACGGTCCTTCCAGAGCCTCGGGGACTTTGCACATGCTGTTACTATACCTGGAATTCTCTTCCTGTTTGCCTGGTGAGTGTCTGCTTACCTTGCAGCTCTTGGTTTAGATGCTCCTTCTCTAGGGAAGACTCCCTGATTCCTCCACCCTGACCCATGTCCCAGGGTCTCAACAATCTTCATAGCACCAGGCTTCCACGAGATTATTTGAAGTCTGTGTCTCCTACTAGAATGTAACCAGAGCTTACATAGTTCTCTCCCATGACCTGCAAAGCTGCAGGTGTGCTCACAGTGAGTTTGTATGTCTGAGGTACCAGAGATTGAATCCAGGGCCTGGTGCATGCTGGGAAAGTGCTCTATCGATGAGCTCTGTCTCCAGCCCTCTTTTTACTGTTTTCATCTCCCTAGTTTCTTGAGTTGGACTTCAATTCACTCTTTAGCCTAACCCAGTCTTCAGCTTGCCATCTGCCTGCCCACCATCCCCAGGATATGGGGTTGCAGATCCTTTGTTTAACCATTACCTGGTTAAGAACCCACAGATTCCCCCTTACTTAACAGGGCTGACTAATACACACGTGCATTCAATAAGACTCTTTTGGAAGGCCACCCCAGTTTTAACCCTGATTCATGTGTCTGGAACCTTATTTGATTTTACTCACTCTGTTCTACAGAACGTGGGAGTTACTAACTAGGATCATTCTCCTGAAGGCTTACATGATGAGCCTTCCTGCAAGGTGCCCTACCAGAATCACACCAACTGTGTAGCAAGCTACAGGCATCACTCTAGCAAGAGGCTTACAAATCAGGGACACAGAAGAAACTATGGCTCACTATTCAGAGTGTGACAAGGCTTCTATCCTTGGCCTAATCACATAGCCTCCATTCTAAGCATTCTCTTGGCACATTTTGAGTAAAACTATTTTAAATGTTTATGTATAATCTTGATTCAGAATTTTTTTTGGAGGGGGTGTTTCTATTTCTGTTTAAAAGGTCTGTTCAGAAGTTCTAAAAATACCCTGTATCAGTCTTTTCTAATGCTGAGCTCATTTCTGGCAGACAAATTACAGTGTAATTCAGTCACCCCCTAATATGCTGGTCTTAAGAATGATAATGACAAAATGCAAATCCTAAAGGCTAGTTTATCTTGCATCTCTTTGCAACACACTTGAGAAATTGCTCTGATATAAAAATAATGTCCAGAGAAGTTGATCATATTAAAACTTGCCATTCTGAATTTCATGTTACTTCATAATAATCTTGTTGGGTAAAAATAAGTTTCTAAAGCTGGGCACGGTGACTTGACAGGTGGCATACTCCTGTCATCCCAGCACTTGAGAAACTAAGGCACACCACAAGCCTGACCAGCCTGGAATACATAGGTGTTACAGCTATTTCAAGCCTATGAACTAAAATTATACTTAGCTACAAAATAATGTAGTATTTCAACTCTGTTCTATCCTAAGCTTTCCTACGAAGAAACCAATTGGTGTTCCCTGTCAGCAGGCAGGTGGAGAAGCAGCCATGAGCCTATCACACAAAGCAGGAAAAATTTACTATTTGGATTCTCAGTTTGGAACCTGGCCTTTCCAAGGGCATTCTGGATTCCAAATTTGGCAAACGCTGGTTCAGAATCAGGTCTATGTTCTCAGTCTTGCTCAACACAACCACTCTGAAGAGAAAGCAAGTATTTATAGAGTGTAGCCAGCCTCACCCAGTTTCTTTTCAGCAGCCTCATTACAAAGGTGAGCTGAACAGACTTCCCCTCTCATGCAAATCATCTGGGAAGAAACCCTGAAGCCACTAACAAAGAGACATTGACCCAGCACAATACAACGTTGATCTGCAGTGCTAAAGGGAACACCTCCCAGAGAAATGCATTTAAAGTTCCTTGTCAGCCTGTCAGTGGTGGCGCATATCTTTGATCCCAGCACTCAGGAGGCAGAAGCAAACAGATCTCTGTGAGTTCAAGACCAGCCTAGTCTACAGAACTAGTTGCAAGACAGACAGGGCTACACAAAGAGACCCTGTCTCGAAAAACCAAAAAGAGTAAAAATAAATAAACAATAAAGTTCCTTCTTTTAGACCTGTACAGTAAAAGGAAACCAAATAAAATTGTTTTTATTATTAAAAATATTTTTATTGAATGAAACTGATCAGTTCTGGTAGAAAGAACAGAGGCAAATAGTATAATGTTTTAAAAAATTAAATTACAAGTTAAATGGAACTTTTGGTCTTCAACACATTTTATTAAAATCCACATAAAGCGATCTTCCATCCAGGGCTGTCTTGTGTGAGTGAACTGCCTACTACAAAGCCAGATGTGATGTAGCTGTCGCCTGAGGACGGATGGGCCTGAACTGCAGCACCCCAGGTGACAGTGTCACATTTCAAACTTTACACACTTTGTCTCCTGTCCATCAACACAAAGTCCAGCACTGAAACCATAAGAGAAGAAGGACTGTGTCACATACAGGAAGCTGACTCTGAGAGGTCAGTCATGGTGTGAATATACACCCAAGCTTTAAGAAGGCAGACAACTAAAGCAGCACTTTCCACGCAGGGCTCTCAAACACTGCAAGTGTCTGCATCTTGACAGAGTGGGATTTTTTTCCTTTTAGCATATTTCCAAACACATGTAGAGAGCAAGGCCTCATTTTTTAGGCATGAAAATATCTTTTACACAAAAATGGCTCATCAAAAACAAAATATAGATGCTTTAAGAAGTGAACTTTTGAGTTTCTGCTTGCCTTTGTATTAAGTGCTGCTTACATGGGAATCACAGTCCTTTGTCTTCAGATAAAGTATGGTATCCACTTTCTGCCTTCCAATTGGAGTCCTGCTTCTGGGAGAAAACAAAAACAGTCAACAAGACAAAAATGAATTAGCCCTGGATGGTGCCCTGAGAGTTCCTGGTGTCTGAGACCCTGACTACATATATGGTTTTCATCAATAAAGTCTCACACTGTACTGTATACGTGAAAAGTTCTCAGCAATGAGAGCAGGGGCAGGAGGGCGAGGGGAGGCAGGCAGGGCTGCTCAGATATCTTGCCCTCCTGCTGGAAAGGCCCTTGTGCTTAACAGGAGACACCTGTAGCGCTTACACCATGGAATTCATTGACCTGCACTAGGAATGAAGGTCTGACAGAAGAAAACAACCCAAGACTCACAAAGCTCGAAGTCATACATGATTCTTTCTAGACAGACATACAGAAGCAATGCTCAAATTTAGATGTCTTTTGAAAATTTTTATTTTCTGGGTCAAGGTCTCGCTTATATAGCCCAGCCTGGCCTCCAACTTATCTTTCTGCCACAGTCTCCCGACTTCCTGAATATGAGGATTACCATAGTGTATGCCGCCATGGCTGGCCTCAAGGACCCTCCCTCCTTTTCTTTTTGAGACAGGGTCTCATTAGATTGATCAAATGCGTTGAACTTGTGATTCTCCTGCATCGGCCTCCCCATAGGGATTACAGACTGTGCCAGCAGACTCACCTAAGATTTTTGTTTTATTTTCTTTTTCAAGATAGGGTTTCTCTGTGCAACCCTGGCTATCCTGGAACTCACTCTGTAGATCAGGCTGGCCTAGAACTCAGAGATCTGCCTGCCTCTGCTCCTGAGTGCTGAAACTAAAGGTGTGTGCCACCACTGCCCACCACCACTAAGATCCCAGTTTTAAAGGTTGGATCAATACACACTTTCCTTAAATTTAAAATTATCAGTATGAAGAACAAAATTTTTTTTGGTCTGTATTTCTCTTACAAGCAATTGACATTCTACTCAGGTTAATTATATAGTAAAAGCAGATAAGGCAAAAGAGAAAGAATTACTGGTCAGATGATTGTGTGTTCTTGACTCTACATTATCAACGTTCCTAGTTACTTATTAATATTAACTGTGACATAAGGACAAGCAAAGGTGACCTAAACATGGTCACTGTGAATGACCAAGTTGACTTTTGTTTCCTTCAATGACTGATAAGGGTGTTTTTTGTTTTTGTTTTTTTTTTTTTTTTTTTTGGTGGTGTTGTTGTTTTCATCTGGCTCTTTGAGGCTTCTAATTTCTAGAAAACAACTCCAAAATTAGTATCCAGGTTAGAGAAATTAAAAAATACTTTGGACAACTAGACACAGCTATAGTGGGGATGCCTTTCAAAGACCTTGGTGGGGACTGGAGAGATGTTTAGAACAGAAGCACTTGCTAAGCAGGCCTGACAACTTGAATCTGATACCTGGAACTTACAATGGAAGGAGAGAAACACCTCCCTAACCTCTATGCAGCCAAATACAGATAAACACACGCACACAAACACACAGTTATGTTTGCAGCTGGCCTAGCCTAAATTCAGATTCTTCTGCCTCGGTCTCCATGTATCAGGGATTACAGGTACTCACCACTATTTGTATAGTTGTGTGTGTGTGTGTGTGTGTGTGTGTGTGTGTGTGTGTGTAAGCAGTCACTGTGGCATATGTATATTGGTTCTCTCCTGCCACTAGTGAGATCAAGAGAGAAGGATAGAACATAGGTTGTCAGTCTTGCTGCCAAGAGCCTTTACTGGCTGAACCGTGACCAACCCATCATTTTGTTGTTGTTGTTGCTGCCATTTTTAAAGATTCCTCAAAATTACACTTATTTGTGTATACGTACATGGCATGAGATCAAGCAGCCAGAGCCTTTACCCAGAGACTCGCAAAGACATCTCAATGGCTCACTTGTGTGTGTGTGTGTGTGTTTGCCTTTTTTGATCTAGGGTCCCTCTATGTAGCACTGGCTGTCCTGGAATGCACTGCATAGACCAGGCTGGCCTCCAGCTCACCGAGACCCTCTTTCTCCTACCTCCAGAGTACTGGGATTAAAGGTGTGCACTATCACTTCCAGCTTAATTTTTATTTTGTTGTTTGCTTGCACATTTGAGGCAGGGTCTTGCTATGCAGCCTGGCTGGCCTGGAACTTGATACTTGATGAAGCTGTACAGATATGGTATAGAATACATACATACAAAACATTCATACACATAAAATAACAATAAATATATCTATTTAAAAATACAAGTGTGGCCAGTCGGTGATAGTACATGCTTTTAATCTCAGCACTCAGGAGGCAGAAGCAGGCAGATCTCTATGAGGTTGAAGCTAGCCTGGTCTACAGAGAGAGTTCCAGGACAGCAGGGCTACATAGAGAAACGCTGTCTCAAAGGAAAAAAAGAATACAAGTGATCTCAGAGCTGGAGAGGCAGAGAGGTGGATCACTGACCAGCTAGACTAGCCTACTTAGTGAGTTCTGGGATTAAAGGTATGTACCACCATCCCTGACCACTTTTGGCTTTTTTAAGACAGAGTCTTAGCATGTAGCCCAGGCTGGCCTTGAACTCATGAAACTCTCACCTCAGCCTTCTAAGTTTTAGGATCACAGGCATAGATTTTAAACTCATAAATAAAATGTCCTGTGTACTAGCCACAATGCCAAGCTTCGTTGAGTCTTGAGGTGTCCCCATTTTCATTTTCAGGGAGGAGCTTCCCTGGGTGTGGCCAGGCAGTACTACCATCAACTCTTCCCTTTTCTCTGTATAGTCAGGGTTTAAATTCCTGGAGTGCTGCTGCTGCTGTTGAGTAGTTAATACATTTACTCTGGTTCAAAGGAAAAATGATATTCTTTTAAAAAGTGGGGCTAGTGAGATAATCTTTGGCAGTTGAAAGTTCCCGCCACAAGGTCTGATGGCTGAGTTGGATCCAAGGGATGCACATGGTGGAAGGAGAACCATCTTCTGCAAGTTGTCCTCTGACCTCCACCCATGAGCTGTTGTACATGCACACCCACTCACCCAAACATAGTCAATAAATAACAAAACAGAGTTAAAGCCTGTACAATGTAAGAAGGAGTGTGGTCTACACTTTCCTTTGCATCCTGCTAGGAACAGTTATGGTCCCTGTCCTATGCAAACTTGAATTCTGCTATGAAGCAAAGCTGCAAGGAAAACCCAGAATTAGGCCATTTTGTACCCATTCAGAAGTGTCTGGGAAAGTGACAAAGTGACACTGCTTGTCAAAGGATCAGCAGCCTTGCTGTTTCCTGCAGGAACATAATCTGGGGAGCTCCTCACAGAAAGGCCTAAATTACTAACCTTTTCTTTAGCTACACATGGTGACGCCTCACAAAGGCAGACAGGCTGCTCAGAGCTTTACCCTGCTTCCTTGTTGCAAAAACAAGAATACTTTTTATAAAACTATTTGCTTCTCCTGTTTCTCACTTTAACAAGTTCAAAGGCATGGGGGAAGGATTAAGTGAAGCTTGTTGCCAAGTACATTTCTGCTGTTTAAATTCTGTTTCCCAACATCTACAGAATCAGTTCATCCATCCAAAAATATATTCTGTTTGGAGCAAATGGATTTTTTTGTTTGTTTGTTTGTTTTCCAATTAACTGATTTTCTGATTTGGCTGTGGCATGCCAAGCAAGATTAAACCCCCTTCTCTCATCTATGAAGTGAGGGGTTGGGATTACATATTTCTTTTTTGTTTTGTTTTGCTTTGTTTTGTTTTTGAGACAGGGTTTTTCTTTGTAGCCTTGGTTTGTCCTGGACTCACTTTGTAGACCAGGCTGGCCTTGAACTCACAGAGATCTGCCTGCCTCTGCCTCCCTAAGTGCTGAGATTACAGCCTGGAGGGATTATATATTTTTTCTGGGTCTTTTCAACATAAAAATTCTCTCAAACCAAATTTTTGCTGGCCTCACACAGCCTCAGTATCTTTTCAGTCTAGATCTGAGGTCACAGCTTTGTCCCTTTCTCTGCACTTTCCCCTCAGCTCCATTCAAGACCGTTACTGAGGAGCCTCTACAGCAGGTAATCAACCATTGCATACCCTGGCGGAAACTCTTATGGAGATAAAATGCACAGACATGAAGATCCACACCAAAGAGGCCAAAATGACGGAGCTCTAGGTTAGATCTGAGTGAGGAGAGAGGACTGCACATAGGCCCTAGCCCTCGCCTGGCCTCCGCCGGCACTGTGCACAGACACGGTGCACACAGCCTATGCAGGCAAAACACTCATTCACGTAAAAATAGCCTTTACAAAGCACAAATGTGTCAGAATGGGCTTGTCATCTCAGAGGCAGGGAGGAAGAGAGCGCTGAATTACCACCCAGCCAGACTAACCTACTTGGTAAGTTCCAGTAGGAAACCTTGTCTCAAAAAAAGAGATGGGTGGCACCCGAGGAACACCACCACCATCATCCTCTGACCTCCCCCACATCTGCACATACATGCATTTGCCCCTGCACATACAAGCATACTCCCGAAGGCACACATAGTCATACGATGGAATACCAATTGTCAACTGAGAAGAGCAAAGCACCAATGTACCAACAACATGAATGAATCTCAAATTATCAAGGGGAAAGATGAGACATATACAAAAGCTGGAGAGGTGGCCCCATGAGGGTTCCCAGCACCAAAATGGGTAGGGGAGTATATATTGCATGACTGCATTTCTGAAACATTCTAAAACAGGCATAACTAGTCTGCAGTGATAAAATCAGAGCAGTCCCTGCCTGTGGGGTGAGTACGGAGGCACTCACTTCAGAAGGCACCCAGGGAGCTTCCTCTTCTCATGCAATATTACATGGGTACATATGCATGACCACACTTAATAAATCAGCATGATTTTTTTTACTATTTTTTAATTAAAATAACAGGATAAACACTGAAGACATCTTGTGTTTATGCCTATGCATGTGAGTCAAGGCCAGAGAAGGGCACGAGTGTCCTGCTCTTACTCTGCCACATATTCCTTTTTGACTGAGTCTCTCACTGACTCTAGAGCTAGGCTGGCAGCCAACAAGCCTCAGGGTCCTCCTGTCTGACTCCTACCATACTAGAGTTCAGAACACATATCCATACTTGGCTTTTTATGGATGCTAGGAATTTGAACTTGGGTCCTAGTACTTATACCACAAGCATGCTTATCCACTGAGCTATCTCCCCAGTCCCACATTAAAATCATTCTTAATATTTTTTTCATTTTATTATATGTGAATTATACTTAAGATTTTATTTTTATTTGTTTTGAGGGGTGTTTCTTAGCCATGGAGACGGAATCCAGGGACTTGTATATGCCCCAAACACACTATACTCCTGAGCTATACTACCAGAAACGTGAATTTAATATAAAAGCAACTCAGGGCTTGTGAATGGCTCAGAGGGTAAAGAAGCTTGCTGCCAAGCCTGACAACCAGAGCTCAATCACCAGATCCACATAATAGAGGGAGAAAACGACCTCCTACAATTGTCCTCTGGCCTCTACACATGTGCACACTCACATTCACACACAATCAACACAATTATTTGTACTGGGCAGTATTCTTGTAGACTATTTTATTATTTGGGGTTTTGGTCAGAGATACAAAATTGGTTTAACTGAAATGGCTTTCAAGCATCTTCAACTACAGAATGTCCAAGGAATGCACCTTGACTCTGAAGTGTGAAATGTAAGTTCTGAGCTCTTACTCCACAATTAGGGAATAGGCATCAAGTTTGGTGTGCTATACATTGTTTTGATAGAGACAATAAAATCTACAAGGCGCTTAAGCAACTGCCATTGAACTCTTATTAAGCGCCATGACAGTTTTTTGGTACACATCTTTATTTCCAGCACTTGGGAGGCAGATGCAATGGGTATCTGTGAGTTCAAGGCCAGCCTGGTCTACAGAGTAAGTTCCAGGACAACTAAAGCTACACAAAGAAACCCTATCTCAAAAAAAAAATAAATTAAAATAAAAAACAAACAAAATCTTACTATGCTCAAAAGAAATAGACAAAATCAACATGTAAAACTCTGAAAGAATGACAGCTTTTGGGCTAGGGAGATAGCTTAGTAGAAGAATCTAGCCAAGGCCTTAGATCTATACATCAGTGAAAAGGAGTTATAGAGAAAAAGAGAAAAGTGTTGTACAATACAGTGAGGGAAAAGATGGTAAGAACCAGAATATAGTTCTATCCCAGCCTCACAACAAAAAAAAAAAAAAAAAAAAGATAAAGAATGAAAAGGGGGAGTTGGGAGCAGCAGCAGATGGATCTGTGAATTTAAGGCTAGTATGATCTATACTGAGAGCTTCACGATAGCCAGGGCTATGTAATACAGGGACCATGTCAGAGAGAAAGAGAGAGGAGAGAGAGGAGAAAGGAGAGAGAGAGAGAGAGAGAGAGAGAGAGAGAGGAAAAAAGAAAGGAAGGAAGGAAGGAAGGAAGGAAGGAAGGAAGGGAGAGAAAGAAAGAGAGTGAGAAGAAAGAAAGAAAAAAGGAAGGAAGGAAGGAAAGAAAGAAAGAAAGAAGAAAGAAGAGAGGGAGGGAGGGAAGGAGGAAAGGAAGGAAAAAGGAGGAGGAAAAGGGAAGAAGGGAAAAGAAACAATGAACTGCGTTTAGAGAGACTGTAGGGGAGGAAATGCAACAAAGAGAAAAAGATGTGTCAAGAAGTGGGAAAAAGGCACTGCAGGTGAGTCACTAGAGGACAGACACTAAGGACTCACAGCTGTTTGTCTTGAATATAGTAACATTATTATGGGTTTTTTTTTTAATGTCCTCATCTGCTGAGTATGGTGCCACATGGCCATAATCTGTATTTTAGGAAGGAGAGGCAGGAGAATGGTGATTTCCAGGCTAGTTCCACAGTTAGACCTACCCTCCCCCTCCAAAGAAATTAACACACCTGAAAGAGATGCATCTTGAAGTATCTATGAGTGAAAGGCTATGTCTTAAATGTGCTCTAAAATGCTTTTGAAAAGCGTATAGAGAGACAGTGAAATAGCTCAGCAATGGCACTTGCTGCTAAAGTCTCATATATCCTGAATCTGATCCTCAGTACCCAATCGTGGAAAGAAGGGAACAACGCCCACACACTGCCCTGACTCACTGTCACAACACACATGTACTATGTTACATATATGTATATACTATATGTAGTATACACATATACTATGACACATTCTTGATCTCTCTTGCTGTCTCTCTCATACACACATACACACACAGAAATACTCGACATACCGGCATATGCCTTTAATCCCACCACTAAAGAGGCAGAGGCAGGCAGTTTTCCATGATTGGGAAGCCAGCCTGGGCTCCATATTAATTCCAGACTAGCCAGGGTTATGGGTAAGACACACAAAAATAAACAAATATAAAATTTAAAGTATACGAAGGAGCAAAATAAAATTTAAACAGCAAGTGTTTGGTGGTTGTTAGAGATAAACAATTTTATTTTTTTTCCTACTTTTGTGTGTTCTTAAAATCTTGTGTACACATTAAATTTGAAATTTCGAAGCCAAACATGGTAGCACACATTTAACTCCAGCACTCAGAAGGCAGAGGCAGGAGGATTTTTATGAGTTTGAGGCCAACCTGGTCTACATAGTTCCAGAACAGCCATGTCTACATACGGAGATCCTGTCTCAAAGGAAACAAACATACAAACAAAAGCAAAACAAAACAAAAAACAACAAAAATTAAATAAATTTGAAACTTTGTGTGTTTGAAAACCTCTCCAGGAATCTGGGCGGAAGGTAAGATACTTGCTACTTAAGGCCCTGGGCTCCTTTCTGGTTTTGTCTTACTCTCTAGTCCCACAGTATGGGTTTTTCTCCTCAGCACCTTCAGTCTATCAGAGCAGCCATCTCATGGATTCAGACCCTGTCAGTGTATGGCTCAAGAAAAGGAAATCTGGGCTGGGGACACAGAACAGTCAGTAAGTGCCTGCCACACAAGCATGAGGACCTGAGTTTGATCCCCAATACCCACATAAAAAGGCAGATGTGATACACGCTCTGGAAAGCCCAGTGCTGGGGAGGTGGAGACAGGTGGATCCCTGGGACTTGCTGGCCAGCCAGACTAGCCTAAAGGTTAAGCTCTCAGTCCCAGGGAGAGGCCTTGTCTCAAACAAAAAGGCAGCCAGCCTAACAACAACATTGAGCATTGAGGCTGTCCTAGACACATGCACACACAGCACATAACACACACACACACACACACACACATCTCCCTGCACATACACTGATGCACAATTTTTTTTCAAGAAAAAGAAAAGGAAACGCACACTTCTGTTGAGATTATCACAGCTGATGGGCAGCAGTGTGCTCAATTCCAGATCATTGACCATCTGCCGAGACTCAGCCAGCAGGCGCTGGAGCTTACTGGTAGGAGAAAAGTCATCCTGCGAAAACAATGCAGTTCAGCACTGTGAGCTGAGAGACATTTCTAAGTGTTTTTCCACAATCGCAACTTACAGATACAGATGTCAACTTTCTGTCAACGGTAGATATGAGTTATATTATATATATAATATATGTTATATATCTTATATTAAGTATATATTATACAAATACTCTATTCCTTTTATTTCTTATAACTATGCAGTAAAATAACACAAACAGAACCTACTATGACTAATTATAAGAAAAGATTCCTAGACATTGTTTGGCTTTCCTAAATACAAACTCCAAGCCAGGATGGGTATGGTTGGCACACCTTTAGTTCTAATACTCAGGGCTGGAGAGATGGCTCAGAGGATAAGAGGACTGCCTGTTCTTCCAGAGGTCCTAAGTTCAATTCCCAGCAACCACATGGTGGCTCACAACCATCTGTAATAAGATCTTGTGCCTTTTTCTGGCATGCAAGTGTACATGCAGGCAGAACACTGTATGCATATTTTTTTTAAATCTTTAAAAAATTTCTAGCATTCAGTAGACAGAGGCAGGTAGATCTCTGTAAACTCGAGGCTAGCCTAGTATACATAATGAGTTCTAGGCCAGCCAGGACTACATAGTGAGACTGTATATTTAAAACAAACAAACAAAAAAACAAACGAACCTCCCAAAACAAGTCATAATCAGCAGGTCAACGGAAAAACAGAACCTTGACACTAAAGGTATGTGGGCTTTTAGAATATGTGGAGATGTACTATGATAATAATATTAATCATATTATTATAAATATAATAATCTTATCAATAAACTATTAATAATTTACTATTAATTTTTGGTTTTTTGATACAGAGTGTCTCTGTATAATAGAGCCCTGGCTGTTCTTGACTCACTTTGTAGACCAGGCTGGCCTTGAACTCACAAAGATCTACCTGCTTCTCCCACCTAAGTGCTGGGATTAAAGGCATGCATCACCAATTCCAGATGAGATGCACTTTAATTTAACCTTGCTAATTTATTTTCAATAGTTTTTTTTTTTTTTTTGAGCGTGATGATCAAAGGACAAGTTAAAAGAGTCAGTTCTCAAGCAGAAAATTAAGAGTCTGTACTCTTTCCAACATGTAAATTCTAGGAACTAAGTTCAGGCTGTCAGACTTGATGGGGAGCATCCTACCCTCTCTCTGAGCCATCTCCATGGCCTTTAATTTAAAAACAAAACATTTGTTTGTGTGTAGACAGTGTGTTCCATGGCATAAAGTCAAAGGAAAACTTTACAAAGTCAGTTTTCTATGACTTCCTAGTGGAGTCAGGTGTTTGAATTCAATTCATCAGGCTTAGCTGTGTTTGCCTTTACCCCAAACAAAAAAACACCCTATAATCCAAATAAATAAATGCAAAATGAGATAGCCACCTTACCAGCTCTTTTTTGTTTGTTTGTTTCTTTTGTTTGTTTTTTGGTTTTGGTTTTCCAAGACAGGGTTTCTCTCTCCCGGACTCACTTTGTAGTACAGGCTGGCCTCAAACTCACATAGATCTTCCTGCCTCTGCCTCCCAGAGTACTGGGATTATGAGAGTGTGCCACCATACCTGGCTGTTTTTTGGTTTCTTGAAACTGGCATTTCACTCTGAAGCCCAGCTAGCCCAGAACTCACTGTGTAGCCCAAGTCAACTCAGGCTTACAGTCATCCTGCCTCTGTCTGCAGAGCAGCAGGATACAGGTGTGCACTACTTCTGCAGTGGTTTCCTTCCTTCCTACCAGAGTTGTCTGTTAAAAAAAAAAAAAGAGGAAATAAAAGTTTTGAAAAACTATTTGTTGGATCAAAGCTTATTGCTCTCACTTATTATTTGAAATCAGTCAGTAACACCTCCTTCTTTTTTGAGACAGGGTCTCTGTGTAGCCCTGGCTTCCATGAAACTCCACTTTGGTCTACAGTTTGTGTACACCAAACTGGCCTCAAACTGACAGAGATCTGCCTACTCTGTCTTCTGTCTTCCCAGTGCTGAGATTAAAGGTGTACACTCAAAGCCTGCTAGGGTTTTTTTTTTTTTCTTCTATATTTTATCTTTTGAAAAAGAGGTAAAATGTAGCTGTAGTGGTTCATATCTATAATTCAAGCACTGAAGTGGAAGACTGTATTGAAACAGAGAGAGAGAGAAAGAAAGAAAGTGAGCAAGCACCTGGTAGTGGTGGTGGTGCATGCTTTAATCCTAGCAGAGGCAGAGGGAGTTCTAGGCCAGCCTGGTTTACAACGTAAGTTCCTGGACAGCCAGGGGTGTTTACACAGAAAAACCCTGGAAGGGAGGGAGAGAGGGAAGAAGAGAGGGAGGGAGGGAGGGAGGGAGGGAGGGAAGAAAAGAAAGCCGGGAAGTTGTGGCACACACCTTTAATCCCAGCACTCAAGAGGGAGGCAGAGACAGGCAGATCTCTGAGTTCAAAGCCAATCTGGTCTACAGAGTGAGTTCTAGAGCAGCCAGGGCTACACAGAGAAACCCTGTCCTGGAAAAAAAAAAAAAAAGAAAAAGAGAAAGGAAGGAAGGAAGGAAGAAAGGGACAGAGAGGGAGAGAGAGGTGGAGAGAGAAGAGAGAGAACCTAAAACGGGATGAGTCTTTTCATTGTCTAATGGAGAATAAGAGCAAAGTGTGTGTGTGTGTGTTTGTGTGCACATGTGTGTACAAAATTGTGGAAGAATAACATTTTTCAAGTAACTTTAAAGGCCTATGACTTAAAACAAATTTAATGCCAGGTGTGGTAATACACACCTTTAGTCCTAGCACTCAGGTGATCTTTGAGTTTGAGGCCAGCCTGGTCTATACAGTGAGCTCCAACCAGGACTATGTACAGAGCCCTGTCTCAAAACCCAAAATAAAACAAAAAATTTAAACCCCACCATTTAGATGCATTTTATTTTACGTGTATGAGTGTTTTGTCTGCATGTATATGCACATGTGTACCTGATACTTATGAAGTTCAGAAGAGGATTCCTGAAATTAGACTTTTAGATGGTTGTAAGCCACCAAACCTGGGTCCAAGAGCAGCAAGCACTAACTGCTAAACCATCTCTCCAGTGTGTGAGACAGTTCAGTCACACAAAGCCCATACGTGTAAAAATCTAGAAACAGCCAAAATTAAGCAACAATGCTGTAGAAGAACAAAAAAAGCGTGTTGAGAAGAAACTTTGCTTGACTAAATTGAGAACTTTCATGCAAAACATAAACCTTTTCATTGGACAATGCTGCATCTTTGCTGATGAATACACTCTTGGGTGAGGTTCTTTTGTCAGGAGGTGCATCTGACTCATCTTCTCTTTCAGGAGACTTTGAGGAACCCAAACACTGAGGAGACTGAACGCCAGTGAGCTCACTGCAAATAATAAGACCAAAGAGAAAGAATGTCACACATGTGCCGCTCATACACTTAAAAAGTATGTTAAGAGGACAAAAAAAGTGATAAGGCTGGGTGCTCATGCTTATAAAGCCTGCAGCATTCAGTAAGGAAGCTAAAGCAAAAAGACTGATCAACCACAAATTTAGGCCAGTCTGAGCAACATAGTAAGTTCCATGCTAGCTGGGGGACAGAGTAAATGCTATCTGAAGAAAAGGTTAAAAAGAACAAAAAGTGACGGGGTCCTGCTATGTAGTCCAGGATGGCCTCAGACTTGTTAAGAAGCCCGTGTTGGCCTAGAACTCACACTCCCCCACCACAGCCTCTGGAGTGCTGGGCTAATAAGCACACATTACTATCTCTAACATAAACATGTTTTTGAAATGAAGGAGTCAGGTGGAATGCAATAATGCAGATCTGGATAGACTATTATACATTCATGCACATTTGTGTAAGTAAGAATTAAAATATGTAGTTCAGGGTAACCATAAGAATAAGGAATTTCCCTCCTCCAAAATGTACAGGGGTAGGGCTAGATAAATGGCTCACTGATTAAGAGTAAGTGGTTTTCATACATGGGTCCCAAGTTCATTCCTAGGACCCATATGGTCGTTCACAACCACTTGCAACTCCAGCTTCCAGAGATCTGACATCCCCCTCTGCCCTCCACAGGCAACTACACTCATATAAACATATACATATACATCATATACATATACAAAACATACATATATACATATATATGCATGCATATAGCAGTTAAATAAATAATAAATAAATAAAATAATTAATTAAAAATTTAAAGCTTTAGCTGGGCATGGTGATCCAGCACTTGGAGGAAGAGGCAGATAGATCTTTGAGTTCGAGGCCAGCCTGGTCTACACAATAAGTTCCAGGATAGCCAGCATCATACAGAGAAACCCTGTCTCAGAAAAAAAAAAAGAAAGAAAGAAAGAAAGAAAGAAAGAAAGAAAGAAAGAAAGAAAAAAAGAAAAGGCCAGCACATGAGCACACCTTTAATCCTACAACTAAGGAACAGAGGCAAATGAATGTCTGAGTTCAAGGCAGGGCAGATCCATATAGTAAGACCCTGTCTCCAAAAAAAAAAAAAAAATCAATAAATGAAGCTTTAAAAGTACAAAAGGGCCACCAAGATGGCTCAGCGGATAAAGCTGCTTGCCACCAAGCATTGGGAACTGAATTCAATTTCTAGAACCCACAGGGTGGAAGGATAGAACTCCCACAAGTTGTCCTCTGAGCTCTACACAAGTGTTGTGGCATGCACATAAAAACAATTAACTACATTTACTTATTTGTAAGCACAGAGGCTAGGGGTGCAAGTGCACTACTAAGGCACTTGCTTAGTATTCTCAGCCCTGGGCTCAAACCCTAAAACAAAGAAAGTAAGTTTCACTGAAAAAAATAAAAAAGATGCTAGGGACAAGAACCTACAGAAGGCAAAGTAGGTACCAATAACAGTGTAAGGTTCAATTGTGAAAAGCTAGGCTTTTGGACTGTGAAACTGACATGGGCCCCTGACTTTGTGAAAGTGGAGTAGCACTGGGGGGCAGGTGACTACTTCCCTGCAGGTACGGGATCTCAGGAAACACACAGGACAGCAGGAACCTGTTGTCCCCCCTCATAAACAGCCCTCACTTGTTAACAGGAATGGGGCACAAATGTGAACATTTCCTTAGATAGTAAAGTGGACACACAGGTTCTTGTAACCTGGGGGTTACAGGAAAACACCACTATCTTTTCTACTTAATCACCCCCTTGGGCATGAGGCTCAGCTGGCAAAACAAGTTCACATTTAAATTATTGAAGTTAGTGAGGCAAAAAAAAAGGCCTTGAAGAAAAACCCTGACTGTAAGTTTGAATTTATTTGTACATTAAATTTAATATATGTGCATATATGTGGTGTAAACACACGCTGTCCTCTCAAAACTACCCAATGCAGACTTTCCCCTTATATACTTAAGGCTGTAGCTAGTGTACAGACCCTGCCCAAGCATGAACAAAACCCTTGTTTCAATTCCCAGCACCACACACACAAGATCTTGCTTACTAGGTACTGACAGATACTTTCTGATACCTGCAACCTTCCAAAGATCTTTAAAAATGACGTTTAATATGGCAACTTTTAATTTTGCATTTAACAGAATATCTGTATGGTTCTTAATGACTCAAGCTTTTGTAAAGGTCCAAATACCCTACATATTGTAAGTATTAGCAATTTTAATCATAAAGCCCTGTGAAAGTCAATGCAGTAAATGAAGTAAGCTCTCAGTATAGAAACTCCATCCTTTCTGTGCTCTGAAGAGCTATGCCTTACTTCACAATAGCAGGCATTATCACACTGCCACTCAGCCACAATAAGACAGCAATAAGATTCAGCAGCAATAAGACAAGGCTGAATAACTCAACATATACTAGTTGTCTTAGGAAAAAAGAAACAAGTTACTTTTATCAGTCTGCTAAACATCAATGCTCTGTCTTTCATATGATATTTAGAAACTAAGAAAGCCCAGGCAATGAAAAATTGGGAACAGGTGTGAACTGACAGAGGAACAGCATTGTGGGTATGTAGTATGTGCAGTGATCCTAGACAAACAGAAACTGTGAGATTCGGTCTATCCTGCAGTCTGGGCCTCAAAGGGTCAGTCTGTCAACTGTAAAGCATTCTGGGACAGGAATGCTCCAGAACAGCATTTCCACTCTGCACAGTGACCTGCTTGTTTGTTTTCTAACAAAACATCTTTGCCCAACTCATAACTGGTTTTGCTTTTAAGCAAAACCACTGCTTCAGAAGCTGCCCTCAGTGTGAACTCTCCACTGGAGTCTAGAATGTCTCCTTGCACAGACTACACTCTGAAGAAGAGCAAAAGGTTTGTGTTAAGTGGGGCTGCCGTTGCCAGTGCTTGCTCTCTAGCCATAGGCATGGATGTTACTGCAGCCCTTTCTGTGCCTGCTGCAGCTTATGCACCTGTGTTTACAGATGTGACCACCACTGACCTTGCTGAGGAATTATATTTTACCCTGCTGTCGGCTCCTGAACAAGTGCACAAGGTTTTGTGGCGAACAATGCGTTGCATTTTGGAAGGTTTGAAAATGTTCATCCACTCTACGTCAGTCATGTGCCCTGGAGCTTCGATGATGATGTTACTTGGGTGGCAGCACTTGGACTCATACAGGTCATTGTCATTTATACAGGCTTCATTTTGGGTGCAGCATGAGATTTCAGGTGGTTCTGCAGGGTCGTGGCAGTCACCATCCAGCTTTTCTGGCTGTTTGCAGGCAGAGCAGTTGGAAAGACCCAGAAAAACGTTGATGTCATGCCACTGCTTCTCATCGGGTATTGAGATGGATGTCTCTGAAAGCTGCTTCTCTTCCATCTGAAACTCCACTCCATTGCCTTTTGGTGATTTTGCATGAAGCCTGCATAGTTTAACTTTGCTTTCAGGTTCAGTCTTGATTTTTCCACCCAGAGACCAAGACTTTTGTTTCTCCAGTAAGTCTTTGGTAAATAGAGATGAGAGAGCAATTACACTTTTTTCCCCAAACGAAGTATTAACCTGTAGTTTCTTCTCTTTGCATGCATCACAACAGCTCTTGTCTGACCTATTGTGCTGAGTCAACGTGACCTCAAACTTTTGATCCTTAACCAATGACTTCTTATTTCTCTCTCTCTTAATATCGATTTTTGGGTAGTTATTGTCAAGGTCTGATAAGCACAAGTCTCTGCTACAGTGGCATTACAAAAAAAATAGAAGTTATAAGATAGACTTGATACTATCATCTACTAGTATTACCTTCCTGAAGCCTCATTAGTAGACCTAAATCCTAATAAAACCCACTAGTTTGACTTTCAGAGCCCAATTTCAGCCCCACCTCCTAACAGGAAATCTTTCTGAGCATCAAGCCTATGTTCCCTCCCCCTTTTCATCCCTTACTCATTGTGTTTACCATCAAAACAAGGCAACAAAGTCAAGACTATTACACAAATGCAGCTGGACCTCTTCCCATGCCTTCCTCTAAAGTTATTCCTAGCACGGATTCCATCTGTTTGATTTGAGATAGGTTCTCACATTGTATCCCAGGCTGACCTAGAAATTGTGATCTTCCTGAGTACAGGAAATACAGATATACACACTATGCCTGGCTTGTATTCACCAATTCTGATCCCTTAGAAAGTACAGCATTTCCTTCCCATGATGACATGAACCACTTCTTTTTTTTTAACTTTATACATAATTTATTGATTGATTTGGGGGGGGTAGGGAAAAATATGGAAGTCAGAGGCCAACTAATGGCAGCTGTTTCTCTCCTTCCACTATGTGGGGGCTAGGAATTGAACTCAGGTCTTCAGGCTTAGTGGTAAAGACCATTACTCGGGAGCCATCCCACCAGGCATGCATGAACCACTTCTTAGGAGCAAAACTCATTCAGTGTCTCCCAGTGTAGATGAAGTTCAAAGAGGAAAAAGACGTATGTCAAAAGACTTGAAAGAGAATACTGAACGGCTCTGGGGTCTACAGAGGCAGCAATAGAGGGGACACACAGCAACTGAGTGGCAACCGCTGCAGAGGGCATCAGGACAGAAGTGCAGCACAGCACAGTGAATCCTACTGCCAGCTACAGTTACAGACTCTCACACTCTGACCCTGCAACTACTAACTCCAGTTTTCCCAGGGAAAAGAGCTGGAGTCACCAGTCATGCCAATCTAGTTCAGACTTCATAGTTCTCTGCAGACTGGGGACTCTCCAATCCCTCCTCTTGTAAAGTACATTGGCTTTAGTTAGGCCTGCCAGCACAGGCCTGTAATCCCAGGAAAGACAAAGATTGTCATTAGTTTTAAGACCAGCGAGGACAACTTAGTGAGAATATATCACAAAAAACAAGAGAGAGAGAGAGAAACACCAGGTGTGGTAGCTCATGCCTTTAATCCCAGCAGGGGCAGGTGGATCTCTGAGAGTTAGAGGCCAACCTGGCCTATAGAGTTAGTTCCAGAACAGCCAAGGGTATAGGGAAAAGGGGGGAGGGGAGGGGAAGAGAGGAGGAAGAGGGAAAGATGGAGAGCAAGAGTGAGCAAGAGAGAGAGAGAGGAAGGAAGGAAGGAAGGAAGGAAGGAAGAAGGAAGGGAAAAAAGATGGACTTCAGCTGTATTTTCTTATTTTAGTTTGTTATCTTAATAATTAGTTTGTTCACTTTGTTAGCTGTGGCATTTTATCTGCATTGTCAAACCACTCTTTAAGTGTTTCAGTTTTACATCATCCCCACAATTCTTACCATAAGTGAGGGAAGGATGCCTCCTATTAACAGGCAAGCAAAGCAGAAGATCTGAGCTCCTGCTGTAGCTACTGATGCTACATTCTGCATTATTCTTTGAGGAGGGTACCAAGTCCCATAGATCATATTCCCTATGGTAAGCCCAGTGCCTAAGTACTGGGAATGTAGCATTAATGAAAGCCTGGCTATCTCTGTAGTGTCTACTGCAGTTCAGAGCCTTCTACCCACAGACATACAAACCTAGTCCATGATTTTATTGCTAGGTGACTAGTTGACATCTACAGATCACACCTACAATTCTAACATCATGTCCCCCATAGCACTAGGATTATCATAACCATTAGTGTACACCAATTTCTATCCTACTGTACAAGAAACAGCAGCAGATACTGGCTTACATCAAGTACAGAGTAAAACTGACCTAATGAGGAAGTAAAAATCAACACCAATATCATAAGTTAAGTTTACCTTACCTGCATTCCAGAACTTTTGATTCCTCCATCTTTGAGTTATGTATCTGTATTAATTCCTGAGAATTTTCTACATTGAAATTAAGAAACTGCAGGTCACTCTGTTGTTTTACATAAATCTGCCAGAGATATCAACAAATAAATACAATAAAAACAAAACCAAACTGAATTAACAGTTTGGTACTTTGAAATCCTACAACAGACCAGATGGTTTGCTTTGCTGTTTCTGTTTCCTATTCCCAGGATATTCCCACACATCTAGTCTCCTAATAACTAATTCCCACAGCCTAAATATGATGTATGTTTGATATAGTGAAGATCCAGGAGGCATCATTAACAAAATGAACAGGTGCTTGGTGATGGTGGCACTCAGGAGGCAGCAGCAGGCAAACCTCCGTGAGTTCCAGGCCAACCTGGTCTACAAAGCAAGCTCCAGGACTTCCAGGGCTACAAAGAGAAACCCTGTCTCAAAAACAAACAAACAATACACACACACACACACACACACACACACACACACACACACACACTAACCCCCACAAAATCAACAGGTAGACAGCTTCCTAATTCCCCAACCCTTCCCACCTGTGGTCACAGTGGACGGCTGGGACATACCTGTCTCAGACTGTGCAGCTCTGAATTTGTGCGATCTTGCTTTGACTTTGCAATATCAAGTAACTCATCTTTCCTCTTTTCTCTCTCAACTGTATAAGGACAAAAATGACTGGACATTTTTCATCAGCAATATCAACACACATTTTTCAGGTTCTAAAGATTTAACAAGTAACACTTTTGTTGTGGTTCTTAAACTTGAAAACTGTAGAATGACTGACTGGGAAGAACTTTAATCTGTGATTCTGACTGGATCCTTCATGAAACAAGAAAATGTAATTAATTCTAAGTCAAAAGGGATTTAAAATATATGCACATGCTTATAGGAAAACATACACACGCGCTCGTGTACACACGTACACACACACACACACACACACACAAATGAAAGCAAGCCAGGCACAGAAGCACACACCTGTAATCCCATCACTTGGGAGGCAGAGGTGAGAAACTCATATGAGACCCTGACTCAAAAAACAAAAACAAACATGATCCTCTTGAAGCCTCTAGACTATTGGAATTATGGTGTCCTACTACCCCTGGCTAAGTGTTCATTTTTATTTTTAAAAATTTAACCTTTTCAATTATATGTATGTGCACCACACACATGCCTTCAGAGCAGAAGAGAGCACCAGATCCCTTGGAATTGTACTTACAGACAATTGTGAGCTGTTAGCCACCATGTGGATGCTGGTAATTGAATCTGGGTTCTCTGGAAGAATATTCAGTGCTTTTAACTGCGGAGCCATCTCTCCAGGTCCAGGAATTTATTTTAAACTATCTGGGTTTGGTGATATGCACCTGTGATCCCAGATACTCCAGAGTCTGACCCAGGAAAATCATTTGAGTCAACAGTTGTAAAAAGAGGGCTGGAGAGATGGTTCAGTGGTTAGGAGTGCTGTCTGCTCTTCCAAGGGACCCAGGTTCAACTCCTAGCACCTACATGGCAGCTCACAACTGTCCATAAGCAGTTCCAGGTGGTCTGACACCTTCACACCAATGCACATAAAATAAAATTAATTATTAAAAAAAGAGTTGTAAAAAGCCTTAGCAACACAGAATACATTACAAAAATACAAAAAGGTATTTTATAAGATGGGAATATGACTCATTGGCAGAGTGCTTAATTAACACATTGAAGACCTTAGGTTTGATCCCTACCACCAGCATTGTAGAAAGAGTATATAGAAAGAAGATACTGTAAAGGTATAAAAACAAGGTACTACCTGCAAACACACATTAACAGTGTACATAAGAACTGATCTGAAACAGAACACCAACAGCACAGGCTCTAAGAGCAACAATCAATAAATGGGACCTCATGAAACTGAAAAGCTTCTGTAAAGCAAAGGACACTATCATCAAAACAAAACGCCTGCCTACAGATTGGGAAAGAATCTTCACTAACCCTTTATCTGACAGAGGACTAATATCGAGTATATACAAAGAACTAAAGAAGCTGAAAAGCAGCAAACCAAGTAATCCAATTAAAAAATGGGGAACAGAGCTAAACAGAGAATTCTCGATAGAGGAATATCGAATGGCAGAGAAACACTTAAAGAAATGCTCATCCTCATTAGCCATCAGGGAAATGCAAATCAAAACGACCCTGAGATATCACCTTACACCCATCAGAATGGCCAAAATGAAAAACTCAAGGGACAACACATGCTGGAGAGGTTGTGGAGAAAGGGGAACCCTCCTCCACTGCTGGTGGGAATGTAAACTGGTACAACCACTCTGGAAATCTATCTGGCGCTTTCTAAGACAATTAGGAATAGTGCTTCCTCAAGACCCAGCTATACCACTGCTAGGTATATACCCAAAGTTTGCTCAAGTACACAAAAGGGATATTTGCTCAACCATGTTTATAGAAGCTTTATTTGTAATAGCCAGAACCTGGAAACAACCCAGATGTCCATCAACGGAGGAATGGGTACAGAAATTGTGGTATTTTTACACAATGAAATACTACTCAGCAATCAAAAAGGAGGAAATCATGAAATTTGCAGGCAAATGGTGGGATCTAGAAAAGATCATCCTGAGTGAAATATCCCAGAAGGAGAAAGACAGACACAGTATATACTCACTTATATAGACCTTATAAGATATGATAAACATAATGAAATCTATATACCTAAAAAAGATAATCAAGAGAGCGGACATGGGGTAAGATTATCAATCCTCGTTTTGAAAGACAGATGGGATGCGCATTGAACATTGACAGGAATCTACTGAGCGCATTTGAAAAACTCTAACTAGCAGTGTTTTCAAAGCAAAGACTCATGACCAAACCTTTGGCAGAGTACAGGGAATCATAAGAAAGAAGGGGAGTTAGTCTGATGAGGAAAGGATAGGAGCTCCACAAGGACCAAATATATCTGGGCACAGGGTCTTTTCTGAGACTGACATGCAACCAAGGACCATGTATGAATATAACCTAGAACCTCTGCTCAGATGTAGCCTGTGGTAGCTCACTAACCAATTGGTTTCCCATAGTGAGGGGAACAAGGACTATTTCTAACAGGAACTCAATGACTGGCTCTTTGGCCTCCCCACCCCCCAAGGGAGGAGCAGTCCTGTTAGGCCACAGAGGAGAGCTTTGCAGTCAGTCCTGAAGATACCTGATAAAACAGGATCAGATGAATGGGGAGATCCCCCCTATCAGTGAACTTGGCAAGGGGCACGGTAGAGATGAGGGAAGGAGGGAGGGACTGGGAGGGAATAAGGGATCGGGACACGGCTGGGATACAGAGTTAATAAAATGTAACTGATAAGAAAAAAATAAAATTCAAAAAAAAAAAAGAACTGATCTGAAACCAGGTGGTGGTGGGGCACACCTTTAGTCCCAACATTTGGGAGGCAGAGGTAGAAGGATCTCTGAGTTTGAGGCCAGCCTGGTCTACAAAACAAGTTCTAGGTCAGCCAGGGCTACACAGAGAAACCCTGTCCTGAAAAACAAAAACAAAGAAAAATCAATACCAAGAAATAGAAATGTAATTCTTATTTGGTATCTGACTTAGATACTTAGTACATAGTACTTTAGTTACTTTCTGCTGCTGTGAAGAGACACCATGACCACAAAAACTTATAGAAAAAAGAGTTTATTGGGGGCTTACAATGTCAGAGTCCATGACCATCATGGTGGGGAGCATAGCGGCAATTGAGATCCTAGATCTTTATTTACAAGTAAGAGATAGAGAAAGCATTGCATAGATGGTTCAGTGGTTAGGGGTGCTTACAGCTCTTCCAGAGACAAAGCTCAGTTCCCAGCACCCATGTCACACAGTTCATACTTGCCTGTAACTCCAACCCCAGAGGATCTTATGCTGTCTTTTGGCCTCCAGAGCACACATCCACACAGACACAGACACACACACACACACACACACACACACACACACACACACACACACA